CTCTCTCTCTCTCTCTCTCTCTCTCTCTCTCTCTCTCTCACACACACACACACACACACACACACACACACACACACACACACACACACATACATGCACGCACACACACGCATACACATTCTCCTGCCTAGTGGTGGGGAGCGACACTTGCTGGAAACTAGGTCCAACATTTCATGAACATCGTGAATAAAGCATCACTCGAGACCCCCCCCACACACAAACTTCGAGTTGTGCATAGGGAACATGACAAAACATACACAATGCATAATGGCTACCTTACCCTTCCCCAACCATATCAACAAAAGAACTACGGGCTGCGCACTCGTTCCTTCACAGTAAGTTAATGGATTTGGAGGTCCGCAGCCCCATATGTGAGAAAGGTCGTAGGAGGGACGGACCGAAGTGCTTCCGCATGTGAATTCGGAGGCCCCCAACTCCATATGTGAGAAAGGCAAAGGGGAGAAGAACCAGCATTCGGCCCAAACACCACCAACTGGTATGGGGAGTCGAGGGGGAGGAATATGCATGATGTGAGAGGTGCAGTCGAGGTAGCCATCACGAAGGTCCGATTTTCTGTCTGCTTCAGCGGAGGCCATCTGCACGATATGAGAGTGACAGTCGAGGTACCCATCGAGAGAGTCCAGTTTCCTGCCCACTTGAAAACAAAACTGCGACGGGTCCACCACCAGTATGTGGTCCAACTATTGAAGTCGAGCCTGAATATGCCTTGCACGTCGTTTTTTGTCGAACTTGTAACGTTGGTATGTCATTTCGTGGAAATTTCGGTATCAGTACCAGTACTCTAGTGTTTAGCACCTCTGCCCGACAGAAGGTTAAACTAAACGGACATCCTTTATTTCGTTCTTACGCCCTGCATTCTCATACGGTTACTGTTTAGTTTTTTTTTCCATCCCTTTTCATTTATATTTTCCTCAGTGAACGTTGTTAGTTTTCTTCCTACAGTTGCCTCGTGCGTACTGCTGCTGTAATGTTGCGAGACTATGACCGTCGACTTTCACCTCCACCGTTGTTGTCATCCTTCAGCGCGACAGTCCACCGTCGTTGTCGTTTTTTTGTGTGGTCGTCGAGGATAACTCTATGGGTCTCGCTGCACTACTGTCCACATTCATTAAAAAAAAAAAAAATGCAATTTATCTTTCCATGTTCAACGTGGATTTTGTCTCCTTTTTCACGTTCGAAGAGTAGTGCAGCGATATCATATGTCCCCTCCTTACCTTCACGTGAATCACCTCTAATGCACGACGTGCATCGTCTTCGTGGATATCTTCACCTGTGATGCTGCTTCACATATTTTCATTATCCATCGGCCTCATTTATTTTCATTTTGATTTCGTCTTTTGTTTTTATTTTTTATGTTTTTTTGAATAGTTTCCTGTATGGGTTTTATATTTTTTGAATATGTGTGTTTCTTTTCCTATTTTTTTATTCTTTTTCGTCGTTGGGATTTCTAATTGTATGTTCGCTGGTAAACCATCGACATAGAGGCATATGAGGACAACAAACAAGGGACAATGACAAAGTGTTTCATCATAGTTCCACCTACTCATATTCATCAAACTTTATTGAAAAATTATTTTTGTTTTGTCATATTTTCCTCTATTATTAATAAATCATCTATACTACATGAGTCGTCAAGGACAACTTGTCCGTCCGAACAGAGATAAAATAAAAAATATATATATACATATATATATACATACATATATATGTTTTTATTTTAAATTTAGAAAATAATTTTGATCTGACCGTAAGGCAAACGTTATTCAGTCTATGCTTCTGCACAACATAGTTTTTTTTGTTGGGGGCGGGGAGGGGGGAATCTTCCAAGGTCCTTGCATGGCAGGGTGACCCGACTGACTTTCTAACAAATATTTTTTTTTTTGCAATATTACGTGTTATTCTTACTTTATGTTATTGTTCATAAAATATATTTTACATATATATCGTCAAACAGAGTTGTTCGATAAACCATAGGCAGAGAGGGAGAATATATACAAGTATATATATATATAGGTATATCTATCTATCTATCTATCTATATATATATCGTCAAATAGAACTGCCCGGTAAACCGTAGGCAGAGAGGGAGAAGAGGACAACAAACGAGGGGCTGTGACAAACTATTTCGTCGGAGTTTCACCGACTCATCATATATATATATATATATATATATACAGGGTTGCCGACGTTCGGAACGGGCCGAACGCGTGAACGTACGGGACCCCTTCGGAAGGCGTTCGACCGTTCGGACCGAACGCGGACCCAAAAAAAAAAAAAAAAAAAAAAAACAACGTTTTCAAAACATTCCAAAAAACATATATGTTATGGAGTAAACTAAACTAAACAACATTTGTCTGGGCACTAAATCCAAATTATTTACTAAATTTGAATTAAAAATCAAATACATAAAATAAACACTGTGATAAAAATAAGAAAAAATAAAAAGAGAATTAAAATGAGTGAGTGTGCCAGCACCTTTTCGACACCGCTATCTTTGCCAATTTTTAATTATTTTTTGGCATTGACAAATGCCCTGAAAATTTACAGATATGTAGTTTACATAATCCATAACTCATTAAAATATTTTTAAAAAATAATAATTTTTTTTAGGCCATGAAATAAAGTGAAAACAAAAAGTTAAAAGTGAAAAAAAAAAAAATAGTGAGCGGGCGAGCACGTTTGATAC